CCCGAAAAAATCGGGGACCCGCAGACCCCTAGTCTTTAGCATGAAAGACGACAGGCAAATTGGCCTGTAGGATTTAGGCTGGGCCTGGTCTCTACCTTTTTTCAGCAGAAACGCCACCCTTGATTTCCTCCAACAAATTGGGATGTAACCTAGGGCAAAGCTGCCCCTGAACAGAGCTATCATATGATTTAAAAGGACCTCTTGTCCTTCTTGGATGAGAGCTGGGAATATTCCGTCCCCGCCTGGAGACTTGAAAGGGCTGAATGAATCGACAGCCCACTTCACGACCTCCGGCTTGAACAGCTTACTCGAAAATCTTCTAGCCAAAGCAATGTCTCTAGGTGATTTCCTATTCCAGGGTATCAAGTGTTGTCCTGTTGAGTTGCCTAGTGGGGTGTTCCCTGGGAAGTGGGTGTTCATAAGGACTTCAAGAGTCTCCTCCATTCCTATTGTGTGACTCCCATCCTCCCGTTTTAATGTACCGAGCGGGTTAGGCACATCTCTCTGAAGGGGTTTTTGCAGTCTAGCTTCTTCTGGTAGGTTTTGAATCCCCTCACAGAACTGCCTCCAGGACTTCCTTTTGCTTTTCCTTATCTCTGAGTTGTACTCCGTTAGGGCTCTTGAGTAGTTAGCCCAATCCCTAGTTCTTTTGGTGGTGTTAAAGAGTTTACGGAGTTTACATCTCATCTTGTTTAGCTTCTCATTCCACCAGGGCACATTTCTTGTTGTCCTTTTGGTTTTGAGAGGGCAATTTTCCTCAAAGGCATTTAGCATTGACCTGTTTAACTGTTCTGCCTTCATGTCAAGGCCGTCAATGGTCATGAGTTGGATCACCTTTTCTTCAACTTCATCCCTGAGGGATTCCTTATATCCCACCCAGTCTGTTGTTTTAGGAGCCCTATAAGTCAGAACGCTTTTGACGCTTGCTACCAAGTCAAACCTGATATGGCAGTGGTCAGATAGAGAGGCTTCATCAGAGACGTGCCATCCTTTTGTTTCCAGGTGACCAAGGTTTAACGATAGGGTGAGGTCCAAAATTTCCTCTCTTATTCTATTTCTGAAGGTTGGTACATTACCTATATTTTCTATCTGTAAGTCAACCTTAAATATAAATTCCAGGAGATCCTTACCTCTTTCATTAGTGTCCGAACTCCCCCAGATGGTATGGTGAGCGTTTGCGTCACAGCCGAGGATTAGGGAAATCCTCTTGCTTCTAGCATACTCCACCAACTGCACCACCGCCCCCGGAGGACAAGTTTCTCCTGGGTTGGGGAAGTAGGCTGAGGCAACTAGAGCTTTTTGCCTCCCTGCAGTGGAGTCGAAATCGACTTGGATTGTTACCAAGTCACGGCTGATGAATTCTGTAACAGCTAAGCATACGTTGTTAGGGTTCATGAGGATGCAGGCCCTAGGGTTAGCAGATCCCCTATCGTATACCAGCTTACCCACCTGGGTTGGAAGACCTCGAATTGTTCCTCATCTTACCGAGGGTTCTTGAAGGAGGGCAAAATCGAGCCCTTCGGTGGCAAACCTCCTGCCCAGGGCTGCTGAAGCACCTTTGGCATGATGGAGGTTGGCCTGTATGAATCGGGAATTCATTCCCGTTTCCTGTCTGAGGGGTCACTCTTACCCCTCCTGTCACGGTGATGGGACTCCCTTCTGTCCCCTTGTCTAGGGTTGCTGCTCCTTGGCCGGTACTGCTCCCTTCTTGTAGTTGAGGGCCCCCTGTGCCTCTCCTCTCTCCTTTCCCGGGAGTTTCTCCTGTCGAAGATAGGGAAGTGCTGGGAGTCTTGGCTTCTCCTTTCTTCGCCCCTCCTTGACTCCACTGACCTCACCGTGGAAGTGGTTGTTGAGGGTGGTGTCTTTTTCCTTGCACCCAGGGTGGCAGTTGGTGGTTGCACTGGCGGAGCATTTGGTGACTGCGCTGGCGGAGCGGTTGTTGGCTGCGCTGGAGTGACGGTGGCCTCCCCTTCAGCGTTTGATGTTATGGTGGACGAGGGGGGCTCAGGCCGAGGTGCCGGAGCTGATTTAACAGCTCCCTCCTCCGGACCTTTGCCCCTCAGCTTGAGCGTGACTACACCGAATCTGTAGGCCACAATCAATGGACGGTCCCTAGTGATCCTGGCAGCCGTCTTTGGGTCGATGGACAGGACCAAAATCACTGCATTTCCTTCGACTTCCACTCTGCTCAGAGCCCTCCAAGTCTCTGCCGGCAGGTCTTCGTTTTGCCTGTTGAGTGCCCACAGGATGTGCTGGGTCGAGTACTGGCTACTGTTCGGGAAGTAGACCGTTAGGACTTTTGCCTTGGGAATGTCTCCCTCAGACACGACCTTCACGGTTATCCCCCCCTCAAGGCTTATCCTTTCGCCTTTAGTTCTTATCCAGGTAGCCGTCTCCTCATTTGCGCAGACCAGAACCATGTAGCCCTGCCTGCTGTAGACTGCGTTGAATCTAGGCCGAAGGCCTTCCTCTGGAGCCTCACTCCAGACGAGAGTCAAGATGATCTCCTGAAGTGCATCCATCTGTTCACTTGTAAGCAGGACCTCGGGGTAGTCGGAGTGGATGACTCCAATTCTGATCCCCTCTGTCGCCTGTTTATAAGAGAGTTTGTGGGGTTGACTGGTTGCCTCCTGGGTAGTAGGCGTTGCCCCTGCTGAGCTCTCTTTCTTCCTGTTTTTCCTCATACGGGCTTCTTCAGGGGTAGTTGTGTCCTGCCTAGGTCTTTTTGGCCTACTGCTGGTCTCCCCTTTATTTTCATTCCTCCCTAGTGGCTCGAGGCTCTGCTTATAGGCTTCCTGCCTTGGAACTCCCCTCCTTACAAGCCAGAGGAATCTCTTCGTTCTGGAACCGCACATCTTTCGCCAAGGTTTCCTTGATGTAAGCTTGAGCTTTCCAGCTTCTACCTCTAACTCCTTGACAGTTTCGGAGTCGTCTTCATTGAGGAGGCCTTCCTCCTCCGATAGTGTCATTGCATCCCCTCCCTGAGGTGCGGGCACCTCCTGGGCGGGAGTGCTAGGTTCTCGGGGGATGACATCTTGGGACCCTGTGGCCGCCTCAGATGTCTCCATCCGTTGGGGAGTTGTCCCCTCCTCTACCTCCATACTTACTTCTTCTTTTTTGTTGGTTTCCCGGTTTAAATTATTCTCCATGTTGGTCCCACGAGTAGCTAGGGAAATGTGGGTCACCCCGGGCAGAGCCCCGCTTACCCGGAGAAGGCTGCTTAAAACTGGAGGTCGCCTGGTATCCAGAGTCCGCATACTTGTGGCCAAGCTCCCCCTTGACCATGCAGTCCTCGGCGTATGCTGTTCCACCTTGACTTGGGATGATTAGATAGGGAAATGAAGATAAAGTTGAGAAAAGAATAGTTAGAGGCAGATTTTTGAGTCAGAGGACTCGACAGTGAGAGAGTAGTAATAAAATAGCGAGAAATTAAAGAAATAGAAAAGAATAGAAATAGTACACCTTGAAGAACAAGGATTCGATTCATATTTTTTGTTGAAGTTCCTCCCCACACTGTCAAGCCATATCTAAGGTGTGACTCTACCAGTGTGAAGTAAGCTGTTTTGGCCAAAGAGAGTCCGCCTATGTGGTTTATTCTTCTGACGACATATGTAGCGGTACTGGGCTCATAGGATCGATTTGAGGCTCAATTAAATTCAGAGATTTCCTGTGCGTTCTACCATTCTAAGCCAGAATATTTTATTTAACTTAACTAAATAACTGAGCCAAGCCACATCTATATCACAGCCATTTTGATGATCTAAATTTAGTAATGCATTCAACCAATTATACTAATAAATACGATTAAGCTAAAAAATCTCCCTTCGCGCCTTATGGGCCCGAAAGGTACTGTTAACTCAGTTTTACATAATATAAATATTTAATTAATGATAGAATCCCTAACCCCTTAGTCCCCCCTCCCCCGTACTGAAAAGAATTAGAACATGATTGATATAAATCTAATAATTAAACTTAACACTATAACTTATCGATCTCATTCCCGTTCCTTGACGATGTGAACACTCCAGGGACTCCAGGCAACGACTGACCTCCTTCTACCCCTTCCCTACTCCCTCCAGTGTTCGCGACTAAAGCGGATTGAACTGGTTGATAGCGGCTCAGCTGTGACGCGAGCGATAGTCTCCTGCGAGGCAGCCAAACCCTTTTAATCTTCTGCAGATGTTTAGACTAACTTTCTTGGACATCATCATCGTCTCCCGCAATAACAGAAACTTTTTCATCGTTTTCCACAATTATGAACGCGGCAAAATCATGAACATCTCCTGCAGTCATGTAGACATCATCATTGTCTCCTGCGATTGCGGTGAAATTCCGATCATCTCCCTCGCCCTTATGGAAATAATCATCGTCTTGCTTGATCGCGGTAAACTTTTAATCATTACCCACATTAGTATAGATATCATCATCATATCTCTCGTTCACAGCAAAATCCTTAATGTCCCCCGCTGTAAAAGAAACATCATCGTCGTCTCAGGCGGTTACAGCAAACCATGAATGTCCCTCAAGGTAAGTGAAACATCATCATATCCTCCCCTGTTCACAGAAAATGGTCATCATTTCCTTTGGTTGTCTGAACTTTACCATCATCCCCCATGGTTATGGCTAAATTGTTAATATCCCCTGCGGTAATGGAAATATCATCGTCCACTGTGACCATAGCAAAATTATGATCGTCTCTTGCGGTCGTAGCCGCAGTCATGGTAACATTATCGTCATCACCGTCGAGTACGGTAATTTTACAATCCCCCCACGTCAAGTATCGGTATTGAGAATCTACACATCCCTGCTTAAAACCTATCAATGTACTGTATTAAATACTGATGAATTTGTTTGAGAACCAAGATTGTCCAAGGTTGTCACCATGTTAATTTTCTGTTTTTTCAATGTGTATACTTCACCTTGAGTCAGTCATGTGTAATTTTCATTTGGTCTACCTATCTTTAAAACATTACGTTTTTACTCATTTTTGTGTGTTTCAGAATATAGATACAAAAACCCAAGAAGAGGAAACCAGAAATGAAATGGTTTGCAAGTAAGTAGCATACTGATACTATGTTCATAACTGTGCCAGTGTTAAAAACTAATTCCTTCTTTTTCTAACAAGCATGCACGATACTTCGAATAGTATTGTGTGAGAACTCTTGTTCCAATATAAATATACTAAATAAATAGTTTGAGGGCTATTATTTTATTATGAACATTTGTCATTATTACAATTAGAGATTAATCTTCAAATCATAACCTAAATAAATGTACTTTTGTGGTTGGCTGACCAGGATTTACTTGCCATCGTCAGCACTTACTTCTTCATATAGGTAATTTCATAATAAATATGCGAACATCCTTGTTCTTGTCAACTTGTTACAATAAATTTTAAACACAAATAATAAATAAACAAATAAACATAAACTTCGGTAGGCCTACTTGTATGTCGCGACATAACCTCACTTTGACATGTGCTCAACTGACAGATATTAGATGACAGGCAATTTAGGATATTTTTGTTTATCTTATTTGCGTGAAAGCAGGCTTATATTATATGCAGCCTTGTTGTGCACTAATTTATTTGGCGGTTCTGTGGTTGGTTTTCATTAGAATTTGTTAAGTTTTTGTTAGTATTGACATGGTTTGTTGAGGATCTTGTTTTAGTTTGGTGACAATCAAAACCTAATCAATGTCCAGTCTAATTTTACAGCCAATGTAATATATAATGTATATAATATGTAATATATAATATATGTATATATATAAAATAGTCAGAACGGACAAAGACAAAATATGATCTTAAAGGCATCGATGCCCCTGCAACAAGAACAAAAACATCGAGATTGCCTGTCGTCTGTTATCTGTCAGTTGAGCACATGTCAAAGTGAGGTTATGTCACAAATTGTCTTTCATGCTGTAGGCCTAGTCATGTTTTGAGTTGTCTTTAAGGTATTTACATTTTATTTTGACAAAATCTATTGTAACTCATGTTTATTTAATGATGAATAACAATAAAGATTTGATTTAATTTGATATGTCGTGACATACAAGTGGGCCTACCAAAGTTTTGTTTTGTCTTTCGTATTTTTATTTGTGTTTAAAATGTATTGTAACAAGTTGACAAGAACAAGGATGTTCGCATATTTATTATGAAAAACCCTCTATGAAGAAGTGCTGATGATGGCTTTATAAAGCCGAAACAGCTGTACACTAAGTACAATACTGGATTGCTTCAAGACGGTAAATCTTATATATCTATGTAAACATTTATTTAGACTTGGGTATATATATATATATATAAGTCTAAATAAATTTTATAACCGTTAGTGTAATTTCAATTTAGTAAGGTTTTTTTTTAAGAGGTTAGCGGAATTTTTGGGGATTATAATTGAGATTATTAAATCAGTCTTCAGTTTGGTCAGTTAATGTTGTTTGAGGATTAATTAATGACAACTGTGAGATTAGGCCCTATTATACTAGTCCTTAGAGGCTTGTCTCTAAAGGTTGATCTACTGTTGTCAAGCATAATAGTTCTTAGGAGTAACACAAGATACGGCCGTTTTATTGGCTATTGTTTGAAAGTTAACTAACATGTGCCCAGGTTTGCTATGTCTTAATCCAAAGATTTTTGGATTTTAACATTTTTTTTATATTTAAACTATTTCAACTGTAACTAAGTCAGTTTGACTTTTTAATCCAATAATAACGTATTAAACTATGGATAAAGCTAGATGGAAAACTCCAACAATCTTTTGTTGAAATCATATCAATTGTGAATAGGCATCTCTATCAGTCCTAACAGAATTCACAATTAATTGTTCTTTTTGTACTACCCTTTTTATCTTCAATGTGAGTTGTTAGTGTAAGGACACCATCATTGTTCTCAAACAATATTTACTAAATCACAGAAATAGCAAATATAAAGAATTAAATGTCAAATCCAACATAGCTCTAATACAAACTAAATTCGGAATAAGGGATATTGTGACTTTATATAGATGTCATGTTTTTCTTTTTGGGGAAATAATTAGACAGTGAGGCCTTGGGGCCCTTTAAAGTTTTGCATTTCTCCATAAGATTAACATGGGAAACAAAAATTGTTATGAAACTTTAGCTGTTGCCAGAAATTAAAAGTGAGAAGAAGAACATATGTTAATTGTAAACAGTCAATAAGTTTGCTAATTTAACAGTTTGCTACAAACATTTACTGACTTGGTTGAAATAAAATATTTACTATTGGAATTCGGTTTGGTGTAAATATTACAATGGAAAAAAGCGAGACAGCCTGGATAAATTGATATACTAAAAATAAAACTGAATTCACACTGTGCTGCATTTCTTAGTAATCATTAAAAGAACCTATTTGCAAACTATGGAAACATAGAAAAGTCATAGAACACCACCAAGGAGAAGAAATAGAAATAATGTTTTTTTTTTATATTTATAATTGTAATTATGGACAACCTTATGCGGCTATGAGTAAGGCTATTTGTAGAAAACACTAAAAAACAAGATCAGATTTTCAAAAATGATAAGATATTTACAAGAAATGTTGATTATATCTATGTAATGCACATCTTGAGTATTCCCATAATCTTAGAGTCGTATCTTTTAATGTCATCAGAAATTATTACTTTTATTCGTTTTAAAATAAAGCCTGTAATACTTAGCAATTGCTCGATTTCGAGCAACAGGGACTCTAGTACTTATCTATCTATATATTAATAGGCAAGCATGTTTTTTAAAACCTTTTTTCTCAGCTTGTGTGCATCGTGGGGTAAATCTACGCATACCGTTAGAAAGCAATTTTCCTGTAGGTGTGCAGAATCCCTTTATAAATTTAAATAGGCTCAAAGATAAGCACAAAAAATGAATTTAAAAATTTGAAAAAATTAACATGGATCTTATGCGTTGCCATGCTGGTGACGAAATAACAACGAAATGTAAACAGAAAATCAAAACAAATGGAAGAAACTCCAATCACATGTTTTATTTACAGTATGGGGTGAAAATAGAGAAGTGAGTACATTACATATTTTTGGTCGAGTTTCGACCACTGGACGACCTCTCGTTTAATATTAATACGTAAGCAGGTTTTTTGTGACAATTACTCCTCCAAAACTACTGAACCGATTGGCATGTTTTTGGTGTAATTGGAAAGAGCGTGACATGAAGCTGTGCAGGAAACTTTCTTTTTAGGGAAATAATTAGAGGGTGAGGCCCTGGGGCCCTTTAAAGTTTTGTATTTCTCCATAAGATTGACATGGGAAACAAAAAAATTGTTATGAATTGTTCCAGCTGTTGTCAGAAATTAAAAGTGAGAAGGAGATCATATGTTAATTGTAAACAGTCAATAAGTTTGCTAATTTAACAGTTTGCTACAAACATTTACTGACTTGGTTGAAATGTAATATTTACTATTTGAATTTGGGTTGGCGTAAATAATTACAATGGAAAAAGCGAGAGAGCCTGGATAAATTGATATAACCTGTTATGTACATCTTGAGTATTTCCATAATCTTTGAGTCGAATCTTTTAAAGTCATCAGAAATAATGACTGTTATTCATTTTAAAATAACGCCTGTAATACTTAGCAATTGCTCAAATTCGAGCAACAGGGACACTAGTGGGATCTTAAAACCTCCACACTACAAGAGGGTTTTAAACCAGGTCATTTTAAAACCAAGGTGACATAAATAGGTTTGACTTTGCTGTACTAAAAGAATTGTATACTATGGATGATATGATACTAGGATATATATATACACTATACTTTTAAAACTGATTCTTTGATCAAATGGATGTTTATTATTTTGTATTTTACTATTTAGAATGCTTCATCAACTCCATCAAAGGCTGAGTAATACTCCAAACACATCTTCAGAAGAGAAACGACCCCACCTCAACTATAAGCACCTCACTAACTACGAGAATCAACCAGCAACTTCCTCATACAGCACACCTGGTAAACCAAAACTCCAAGTATACAATTTTACTATTTACTTTTTATATTTTATGTATCAAACAAAATACCTCTGTCGCAGCAATTATTCAATAAAATCCATGAGGTTGTGACAGTGAGTTTCAAATTTCCCACCAGATAAGTAAATCTTAGGACGGTCGTGGAGTCAAGCAAGCGTCACCGTGATATCGCTACCCTCCCTCTCCCCCACCACAAGTCGGAGGGACACGGACTGCTCGAAGAAGTGACCAAGGCAGTCAGTATCGTACCGCCAAGTGGATAAGTAAATTAGTGTTAAGTTACCAAGTGTACATGTGTGACAGGGCAGCTGAGATGACTATCTGGCTGGACACCCTTCCAATTGGTTAAGAATCTATCCAAAAGATTCAGAATCTATTAATTTGTGTGATTTGTATCTATCTTGGTTTTTTTCAAAATTATCAACAATTTAGTAGTTAACTCTCGGTTAGAGGCAAATGTCTCTCACCTCGAGACTCTAAATCCCTTTCAAAATTTTGCACCATTTAATCGAGCGGATGCATATGTCTCATCGGTTGGATTATATAAGGCCCGCTAAATTTCAAATAATAAATAATTTTGGAGGAGTTTTTTATAAGAAGCGAAAAGTGATTAGAGTTTTATTTCAGAGTGTTCAGTTTTGTTGTCCTGTAGGTTAAAGGAGGATAAAGTATGATTTTATTTTCAGAGAGTGTTATTGTAGTCCTATCATGTATTCCTCAATTTGAAGTTCCCTGTAGAATAGCGATTCTATATTAGTGGTATTCTAATAACTCACGAAGTGTGAAATCTGTTAAGTTGTATGTTGTGTTCCGTGTAGGGTACTTATCTTGCATGGCAACACATTTACAGAGAGTATTATTATATCGTTTATTCTCCAATTTAAAATTCCCTTTTGAATCGTGATCTTATTTTTGTATTTTAAAGTCCTACGAAGAGTGTAGATAAAGTGTTACGTTACGCGTAATATTCCGTGTGGGGTACATATCTCGCATGGCGATATCACCGTACGTTTTTGAATAACTGTCTTAACAAAACCATCTTAATAGGTGTATTCAAGCTAATGATCCTCTGTATTTTGTTTTGAAGTGCGGTGGTCTGTTGAGTGTTCTTTTTACGTGTTAATCCGCGTGGGGCACATGTCTCGCACGTCGATAATATATCTATTCACTTATCAAGTCTTAAGGGGCACTTGTCTCGTGCAACGAAATTTGTAAATATGATTTTATAGAATGTCGGGAGGGGCATCTGTGTCATTACCCAAGAAATCAAGCTTATAGTTCATTCTGTAAATGTTCATTACGTTCATAAATTCATTCGTAAATTCATTACGTATCTGTTAACTTGAGATATCGTATTACATGTACCAAAGTGCTACGATTCGCCCATGAGGTGTGGAGTGTGTATGTGTAGATTTGGGGCGAGAAAGGAGTACGTTTCGACAAACTGTAAACCGTTGTGATTAAGTATCGTTAAAAAACACCTTTCTTTGTATGTATTGCCGCAGTTGTAAAGTTCATGTAATAAATATTGATTAGTTACTAGATGTGGGTAATGTTTTCACCTTCCGAGATATCTCCTTGATACCAGGCAAATTTGAGTGTTACTATAAGGGTCGAACCCCCTCTGTGGGTTTATCTGAGGCAAATATAATTTACTTTGTATTGTGGGAATATTTGACAAATTAATAACGTTTACTACAAAGTTGGCGCCCGAACAAAAATTGCAATATGGTGTTGTAAATAAACATTTTCAGTGACATCCCTACTGTAAGTTTTTTTTTTTTTTTTTTTTTTTTTTTGTGATCTGATTTTGGTGTTGGACATTCCCGTCATATTATATCGTACCACAATCAATAAACATGTCTACCACAGAAGACAACCCTACTAGCCCTACACATTCGTTGAACTGGGTGTATAAACTAGGGGTCTGCGGTACAGAAAATTTAAGGTCGGTATGGTTCGGTACGGTACAATATTTTGTAACTTGGTTCTCAGTACAAAATCGGTACGGTACGCAGCTATCCATATTTTTGCAGTTTTCTGCTCAGAACTGTATTTAAACCATTATTTTTAACTTTAATACATTGACATTACTATGAAAATGGATAGTATCCTACATTCACGGTTTTCTAACAACAATTACTGTACCACACATTATTAAAACAAAACCTTTTACTACTACGAGGATTGTGTCAAGAAAAATCACAGTTAAGATAAAGGCTTTACCTATTTTACTCTGAGATATTTTGAATAGCCATGATAAAAGTGGTTTTAAAAGTAGGATAAGAGTTTTTAGGAATAAACATGTTTGAAACATTTATTGACAAGATAATTTCACACAACTGGTAAATTATTTGAATTATCTGAAAGTGGGCCTTGAAATTCGATAGTTCTGAGAGTGTAATTGGATTTATTGAGCATTTATCTGAACTTCGAACCGGCTACGGATTCAGAGAATGATTTGTTAGTTGCTCTCCCAGAGGTGTTAAAGGGAAAGGCGTTACTGTGGTATCGTAACAACAATCAGGACTAGACATCATGGGACGATTTTGTTGCCGATTTACGCAGAACATTTCTTCCTCCTGATTACTTATTGAATTTAGAAGATGACATTAGGCGCAGAACACAAGGCAGCGATGAGTCGTTATCAGACTTTGTGATTGCGATAAGAACTGAAATGTGACGACACAGGGGATTTCCACCTCAAAAACAAATCGATGTAATTTATAGGAATCTCAAACTCGAATATAAAACTTACATAAGACGTTGAGATTTTACATCGCTACATGAACTGTTGTCCTTGGGAACGGAGTATGAATTTAACTGTCACGAGGCAAAATCCTTTCGTCCCCCTCTCAATCCCGGTCAGCTGATACCGCCTACCTCCCTCGCACCCACACCCAACATCGTCCGCTACCGCCGCAGGACCGCCGACAACCATCTGTAGCTGAAACATCACAGACGCCTTCATCACCTCCACACCAACCCACAGAAATGTGTTGGAACTGTCGGAGACCTGGTCATCGTTATTCGGAGTGCCGTGCGCCACAGTCCATCTTTTTTTATAGGTGTGGCAATAGAGGAAAAACCGTCAAAACCTGTGAAAGATGTGCGTCAGAAACGCGACAAACGCCTAGACAGCGGTGAGTTGCCTAGGCAGTATCCCATGAATCTCGCCAAGGATAGCGCTGTCGTCAGTGATACTGCGTCTGATTTAACCTCGTCTTCTCGCCCTGTATTACACGCACAGTCATCCGATAATATCGTATGTTTATAAGTATCCAACTCCAAGCACAGAAAACATACTACTATAACCCAGAATGCCAACCGCATGGTAAAAAGCATTAAGTGTTTTTAGAGAGCTTTGCCTGTCAATTCGTAGGCAGCGCCACCAGCGTTGCTATGCTGAGTGCATGGCAACGCTGGTGGCGCTGCCTACGGATTGACAGGCAAAGCTCTCTCAAAACACTTAATGGTTTTTACCATGCGGTTGGCATTCTGGGTTATAGTAGTATGTTTTCTGTGCTCCAAGGTATAAAGTGCAGCGCACTTATCGATATGGGGTCAAGCAACATTTATATTGGTAAATATATTGGACAGGTCCTGGACCCACAAGACCCTCAATTCTTGCCGGGGGGAGGGTCCGTCAGGTTAGCAGACGGTACCGTAACGAAATCGTGTTAATCTTATCGCATAAACATTACATATTTTGGCAGGTCAATACAGTGTGTAACTAGCGTTATTAAAGGTCTAACTGTAGATGTTATACTAGGGTTGGACTCATTAAATCAATTATTCCCGAGTATAACAAGCTTTTTCAGACCGTTAGAAGCCCAGAATACAACACAAAGTAACAAACATAATAACATAGCTGCAATAAAAGAACTGACAAATAAGCAAAACACAAAATTAAAAATTAAATACATTTCTGCTCATGTTATTATCATGAGATGGGGACGCAACCTAGGTGCGAATTTCAACTCAAATAATATTAGTGAAGGGAGAGTCACACTTAAGTGTTGACTATCACCAGTTGCTGGTGTCAAGAGCAAAATTCTATTCATCCTCTTCTACTCTCATTTCCCCCCTCCCCATCACTTACCACAGCGCTTACGCTGTAGGAAGATCCTGTGCACTACAACTGCTGTTGAAAAATGCTATGAGGCCATCGTAGTTTGGCAGGCACTTCCTTGCTCGGTACGAGTACATTTCCACCCCACAATACCAGAGCCTCATATAAGCCTCACATAAGCTTGTATCCTTTGTATCTTGATTCTCTGTCCTGAGAACTCTGTGGTTTAGAATTATCGTTCTTTTTGTTGCAGCAGCAAACCCAATATTAGACCCAGAGTCACAACCAATCCTGATGGGCTGGGATGATCCTGTAGAATCTGCTGAGAGAGCCAGAGTAAGTATACTACCCTTGTTATTACTAGGTGTATAGTGCAGTTCTCTGCTTGTAAGATTGAGCGGAGAAAGCATATTAATAGGGGTGTGCGAAGCAGCAAAAATCTTTTGATTTGTCTGTGACCTATACGTACACAAACATATGACAAATATGACTTTTTGGACAACATTTTTTAAATTTTAAATCATAAATTAGAAGGGTCTCTAGGCCTATTACTGGAAATATAATATGGGGAGCGAGCTGGTGTAGTGGTTAGAGCGGGGGACTTCGGTCCCTGAGGTCCTAGGTTCAAATCACGCCAAATCAGCAATGGATTTTATCAAGTGATGAAGCCGCAACCCCTAGGTCTAGCCTGTAGTAATGTGAAAAGCAATACCGGGCTCGTGCCTAGCTTCCTAGGAAAAAAAAATTGCCGGAAATATCAGTCAATTGCGTGTCTATTCTATAATTTTTTCGTCCAGCAGCATGGTACTGTACTTATTTTATACTATTGATTTTACAACTAAAGATATGTTTTGGTGTAAAGAAATAAAAACTTTGTAAAGATTTATACTGAAACTTGCAATTGGTCCACACCTATAGAATAAGAGGATAGAATCAAACCTACAAATTATAAGATCAACAAAGAGTAAGTTGACTAATTTCAGCTAAGTTCGCTTAAAAGGTTTTAGATAAGCTTAAAGAGTGGTTTTTAAATGGTTTTGTATAGGAATTAATCTTAAGAATTTGGCAAGTTTAAAGATGCCTGACATTATCAATTTATATTTACTTGTAGATTATGAGCAATTTACGCTCATCGAGATAAAGAACAAAGGGAATGTTGCTGGAAGTCAACAGTCCCGGAAGATCAAATAATTTATACCTGTGCCGCTAGGTCAAAAACTACAATGTTTGCAGTGTCTGTAGATCAAAAGTCCCAGTAAGTCAAATAATACAGTCCGAGCTAAAAACGTGGTCTATGTTAAAGCAATTGACTTATTGGGAATTTGACCTAATGCAACAGCAGTTTTAATATAACGAAATACGGTAAAATACAAGTTCAGTTTTGCTGAGTCAACAGTGCCGGAAGATCAAAAGCAATAAAAGTGAACGTCGATTCAGTGTAAAGTAGACCTCCTGCAACGCTTACTACACAAACAAAACTCGATTTTAGTTACTTCGTGTTTTGTCATAATTAGAATAGAGCTAAAATTATCATATTTGGTACATAGCTTATCTATTAATGCTTCTTGCCAACTGTTTGGTCAACACTGTAAATAGGTATAGTTTATGTAATGAAAAGCCTTTCGTCAAAATTTGTGGCATGAAATACACGCAAGGACGATCTGAAAATTTCTGGTTATTATATACGTTTGTAAAAGGAGATCCATTTAATTTTAGAACTATTTTATGAGTTATAATGTAGTCTATACATAAATTGTGTAAATCTATCCTCGGAAGGGTTGAAACCTGTCCAAACTATCATATATATTATTAAAACGTAAATGAGGTTTTTTCACGATTCTGAATCAACCAGTCGACGGATTTTCACTATTTTTGTGTTCAAAGAAAGATAATTTTGAGAACTAGGGAATGTCAAAGCCATAATTTTAAATTAGGGTCCCAGTTTTTTAGAAATTAAGTTTTAGTTTTTAAAAAGTCTATAGCCGATGCTAACCTTCTCCAATAGTCAATGCTTCTAGCTAGCTTTTAGTACAATATAATTTGCTTAACATAACAACTGTAACATTCAGCATTTGTGACACAAATTCAGCATTTGGAAAAAAATTCAAATACATACTAATGGTTGACTTATTTATACTATGTGTAATGCTGACCATTGATACATTCAATTCTTCGGTACGAGGATGGCAGATTAATTAAATATGCATAGTAAAATACAGTAGTAGAATGTTCAAATTATTTTTTAAAGCATTCTTTGAAATCATCGATTTGTTTTAGTCCAATATAATTTGTTTTAACTAAACAGCTGGTTGAATGTACTATGTATACTTATAAAAGGCAAAGCCCTCACTGACTCACTGACACACTCACTCTCACCACAGAAAACATATTACTATAACCTTATAGTATAGTTATAGGTTATAGTAGTATGTTTTCTGTGCTCTCACTCACTTATCATCACTAATTATCCCACTTCCCATTTACCTAGGAGGCTGAAATTCGATACACCGATCCTTTGAGCATTAAATAGGAAAACTAAGTAATTTTTTTATGTTCGGGCATTCGGGCTCCGCCCCAGTGGCTCTGGGGTTTCCCACGTTAACCTTATGATTTTTCATATTTAAAAGGAATTAATGAATCTTCACAGCTGTGCCAATTAAACAATTTATGACAACAGCTAATTTCCAACCAAAAGGTGAGTGAGCGTAGCGAACGAGCTAACCCCAAGGCAAGTGAGCGCAGCGAACGAGTTCCAACCTAAAGGTGAGTGAGCGTAGCGAACGAACTTCAACCAGGACGTGATTGAGCCATGCGAACGAGCTCATCTTGAAAATTAATAAGTTAAACGGGGCAAAGCCCGCGGGTACAGCTAGTTATTCTATAGAACTATTAGGTTTTTAGCGAATTTCGCATATAGCGAATAAGCTATTACCTAGTACTCATGGTAACACCTGGACCCGGGACCGATTTAATTTTTCGTTTTGAGGTCCCTAGAGGCCAAAAACACCATCCGTTTAAATTCATATATACAGGGTGATCAACTCAAGGAGGCCACCCACCATTGGGTAATCGGAAACTGTAAGTATTAGAGAAAACTTTAAATGGGGGACATTCCTTTATTTTTTTGGCAGTTAAAAATATGATTTTAGTTTTTTGAAATTCAGCCGCCATTTTCCAAAATGGCGGCTAACTTAGAAATTTATCCTGGAACACCCATATTTTATCATGCTTTCGGATAGAATATGCAATTAACATTTTTTTTTCTTTGACACTTTTTCGATAAACCCACTCGTTTAGGAGTTACAGCCTATGGAAAAATGACTTCCGGTGTACATTTTACATCATGTAGCTCCTAAACGAAGAGCAAAATTGCAAGAAGTAAATTAGTCATAGAATTGCATCTACATTCCATAAAGACTATAAAATAAACAGTTTTCCACTTTTCAAGTTTGCCGCCCTTTTAGAAAATGACCGCCAATATTGAAATAATATAGGTAATGAATATTTTTTAAAAAAATTATGTTTTTTTTTGGAATGTGGATGCAATTTTAAGACTCTTTTACTCTTTACATTTTCTCTATAAACCTACTTGTTTAGGCGCTACATGATGTAAAATGTACACCGGAAGTCATTTTTCCATAGGCTGTAACTCCTAAACGAGTGTGTTTATCGAAAAATGTCTAGTATAACAAAATTTTTAAATTGCATATTCTATCCGAAAACATGATAAAATATAGGGTGTTTTACAAGAAATTTCAAAGTTGGCCACCATTTTGGAAAATGGCGGCTGAATTTTTAAAATACTAAAATCATATTTTTAACTGCCACAAAAAATAAAGGAATGTTCTCCATTTAATGTTTTCTCTAATTCTTTTGACTGGGTAGGAAATATGCTGGCAACTCTTGTTATTCAGTTAATGGAACATATTTTGTTACATACTTCTATCTCTCGGAAATGGACAGCTGGATTGCAATAGTTTAGGTTTCCAAACTCAAAACCAAGTACCTAATTAAAAATTGCCTATAATCCAGTGTTGTTGAAATATAACGTTTTAAAAGTTTTTCTTTTCAGTGATATATACATGTAAAGGTAAAACTATTTATTCTTGCGATAAACCGTTCTTGTATGAAAACCCATTTGTACAAATCTTAAATCAACAGGTTGACTTGAGTTATTTATTCATTGATTTAGCTGTTTCAACGATTACCTCATCCATTGTTGGTGACTGAAATACAATAATTTAATTAAATTGTGGAAACTAAGTCCCGAAATGGTAATAAATAATGAAGACACCCATATTTAACAGCTATTTTTCAAAGTGGCTTGGTTTGGTTAAACTGTTCAAATAATTTAGTTTAATGTTCTTTTATATTACTATTTATAGGCTAAGATAAAATGGTGAAGTTTTTTAATGCCTGAACATTTTGAGTTTTATAAAGAAAATTGGACAACCTTATTTTGTGAAACGTGATATTATGGGTAATTCTCATTCAAAAACATACTGTTTTCTTAATAAATTTACCATCCAATATTACCATCTATCTATATATATAATACGCTCGCTAAGCTGATTTTTGTAAACGTAACTCCTCCCTCATTTTTGGACCGATTTTGATGATTAAAGTGTCAAAAGAATAGCCCTGATCTGTAGTTATGCACAGTGTTTTTGTTTTTTGGAAATCTTTATTAGTTCGGGCTGGATCTTCCATCAAAGTTGGGTTTTCTCCCATAAGATTAACATGGGGGAATCTAAATATTTATTTGGAAACTTTGTCTCCACTAATTTAAGAGGACGACTGGGCGTAGAAACTTAGTAGAGGTGTCCAAAGAAATGTCTTGGTCTATAGATGAGTTATCAAAAGAAAAACGAAGTAAATTCCCTTAGGGCTCTGCCCCAGAAGCCTTTAAAAGATACCTCCACAGATTTGTTTACATTTTAGCCATGTGGATAATACTTTTTAATTAAACAGCTGTTCATTTTTAAATAGTATTTCAAACAACACACATTTATTTAGAGTTACTGAATTGTCCAAAGGAAGTATTTGCAATGTTATTTTCTTGAACTCTTAGAGAGCCTTTGAATGTTATTAGGCTAACGAAAAAGCGTTGTGCATGTTTACTAGTGCTACTCATTAACGAAAATAATTTAATTTATCTCTAAAAAACATATTCTAAAGTGCACTGAGCAGCAGTCTAAGAAATACTATGTAACTTTCTCATATAGTTACAAAATGCTCAAACTCGCACTGTGACATTAATTTATGAATCGGCTTATATTTCTCCAACAGTTATTCATCTGCAGAAGAAGTTCAGTGTGCTCTTATCGTGTCTATTAACATCCAAACACAAAAACCTTGCCTAAAATGGTACCTATCTTGACACATTATTTGCAGTGGCCTATATTACGGACCGTGGCCCACTGGGTTGGTAACATCATTGAAAGTAACACGATATTTTGGCTGGAAGAGTAAATACTATTGAAACAGCTACTGTCATGACAGAAAGGTCATATTTCTTTTAAACTAGATCACATTATCCTTTATAAGTTGATTAACAATGCATGTAAACGTCAATATTTACGTAACAGCCAATTTAAGTCTCTTTGAAAATGCCATATTGCTATTTGATTTGCATTATTTGTTGCCAATGAAGCCACAATGGTTTCCAGTACAATGGTTGAAAGTATTTAAGGTACTACCTCAACCTCACAATTAACACTTTATTCGGGTTGACATTTTCATTATCAAGGTGCTCTTGTCCTTTCCGTGAAACACTGAGAAATAAGGACATTAATGCGTTACCAACAGACATACACACAAAAATACAGAACTTAATTAGGAAATCTGCTACGCTTTAGGCATAACAAAGTACATATAAAATTAGTATTTGAAATCTTTTTTAATGTCATAAAATTTTATCATAACAATTTAGATTTGCTTGGACCGAAGATGTCCCGAAATTCTGTCGAAATGCTATATGAATCGGTTTGCTATATGAAATGAAGTACAGTAAATCTATAGACGATTTAGATTGGTAATTTATAATAAAAATTACCAAAATAGGCCACGAACTATTGATAGATAAACAACGCTAATATCATTTGAACAATTCATGATGGTTTGCTGAATAAAAGTTTTACTAAAATGCGTTGTCATTTTCTTAGCATAAACTAACATTTTGGAATCCAGACAGAAAAAGCAAAACTTTTAGAGTTAAGACATCAATTAAATTGAATACGCCTGTAGTAAATAAGGTGCAATACCAACGATAACTAATTTGTAAATTACAGTGATGTGTTGGTACGTAAGTGATTGTTGCTGCTACCAACGGTTCAAAGGAAAAGAACCAGTACCAAAAACCAACGTTTACAGTTAAGACCTATAGTACATCCGACCAATGCGTTAATCAAGGTTATTGATCTCTTGGTTTTGGATTTTCTTGTAAAAAGTTATCGGCAATCAAAGTTATTTCCCATTAATTGCTTTATTTGTAAACAACTGACTCTTAATGTAAACTTAACGGTGTCAGTTTGAAACAAAAAAACAACCTTATACAACAACTTTCTGTTATTTAATAGATTACGTATTCCCTAAAAAATGATTGGTAGGCCTATATATATTAACATTAGAAGGAAATGTGGCAAAAATCACACAACGTTGGGTTTTTGGAAGTTTGTAATTTTATTTCTTAAGTACCTAGGTAGGCCGTGTATTCTAGGGAAAAGTACCGGTATCAAGGATCGTCGTCGAAAAGGTTGTTATAAATAATTGGGTAAGCGTACGTACCCAAGAGATGGGCTATGGGCCTATTGACTGTATGGTCCAGCGATTGCATCACACGGTGAGTAGGAACTATTGACTATATATAGTCAATGGTAGGAACAGAAAGTGACACATTGGAAAATCGAGTTTAGCATCATCCGTAAACCTCTGTTACAACAATCACCCATTGCAGTTGAGTGATTTTTTACTTTACACTTTACACAACCGCCGTTGAAGCGCCGTCAATGAGTGGAACCTTGTTTCTAAGCTTTTGGCGACGATCTTTAACAAATTGAAGTTTCCCAGCCGTATACAACACTGATTCAATGTCTTCCTTCTGGTTATCAAAACTCCAGAACAATTTTATACACAAAGAATCTCTGGTTCCTGACCTGGATGATGCCTAGTTATTTAATTTAATTTACGGTTACACTATATTATTCCACTTGCGATTAATTAAATCCTTTATGTAAGAAAAACTTTTTTAATCTCACTTGGATGGGATTTGCCTTCAAAACGTGATCGGAAATGGTTGCGGTATTTGTAAATAACATTTGTAAACATATCAGTGGCAGCTAGAAAAAATAATCTTGATCCGAACAGTTGTTCGTTATTTGATAGATGATTATGTGATAACAAATTGGACGAAAACTTGACAAAAATCGCACAAAACTGCATTTTTGAACGTCCGTAATTTTATTTACAAAGTATTGAGGCCATATTTTAATGGTTAAAGACACTCTCGCCAATCCAGTGAATACATTAAAATGACTTGGATCTTGATTGGTACTCTTGTTTTCCTGGAGAAGATTATGTAAAATGCCATCTTGAGTGTTACAGACAAACAGACAGAAATTTAGATGAGACTTGTTTCGGCTTCTTTAATGTATAAAACGTAAAAATAAACTAAATACGAGTATTTATGATTCTAAGCAATGTACAGGTGCTACAAAAGGTCTCCAGGCCGAAGTAGCTAGGGGTATGCCATTACCCCAGCCCCCACAAAAAAAAAAAAAAAAAAAAAAGCAATGTACAGACAAAACTCTAATTTTATTTATATAGATTATATTTCATCCTGTTTTTAAGCATTGTGTATAAAATTAAATGTCACAAGAGAGATAAAGAAAACCGTTGTACTTTTTATTTATGGATATATTTTGAACAAATTTGGCAATTTTGTTTATTTCATCCTTTATTATTATTTTTTTTTTTTAAACATGTTTCTTCCTCATAGCAGAAAACTGTTGTACTCATTAAATCTAATGATTTTTTTAAATAGGGAATAATTATGTCTTGTTTATGGAAATATTCTAGTAAAAATCCAATCAGGCTGATTAGAATTCGCTTAGTTTGCAGGTTTGCTGCGGCAGGGATATTACTGTTTCAATGTTTAGACTACATTCCACTTATAGAGCTTAAACAAACATTTGATGTAGTATATTGAAGCATTGTTGTACGCTCAATAGTTTAGTGTCCGAGAAAATTCCAAAAAAAAACTTATTTAAAAATGTGGACATTATCATCTCCCGTGATCACGGCAAAATCATTAACATCTCCCTCATCACAGTATTCCCTGATTGCGGCAAAATTCTGATGATTTCCCAAGGTTAAGTAGATATTGTCATTATTTCACGCGGTAACGGAAACATCATTGTTTAAATTCTGATCATCTCCTGGGGCTGCTTAGACATCATCATCTAAGCGTCTTTGCATGCATAATTGTGGCAAAAGCAGTAATTCTTTGACTGTGCAATCTTTGCAGGCTTGTCGTGTATTGGTATTGGCATAGACTTCCATACCACTGTGTCCATGCCAAGTATCAGCGGTATCGGAAATTGACACATCTTAAATAAATTTGTCAATTTGACGTTTTTATTCCACTTTTATAAACATCATAAAATTACCAAATTCAACAAATTCCGAATTCATATATAATGTTTTACTATGGCAGAAGTGACTAATTTTGTTTGTTTCTTTCCAGATGATGAATATGTCTTCATCAGCAACAAGTAAACCTAGGAGGTTTGTCTTCTCTAATGTTGAAGTAAGTACTTATTAATTAATTGTAGTTAAAAAAAGTCATTGACTGGAAATGGAATCCAATCTTGAGTTGCTGGGGATGTAAAAAAATAGTGTATGTACAATAGATAGCAGCACTGTCAGGGCCAAATTACTCCTACTAATTACTCATTTATTTTTCATCCGATTTAAAAAAATAAAACTGTTTTGTAATCAGTATAAAGTTGTAAAAGGCGCTATGCATCCCAATTTTTGAAAAATAAATTTTTAAAATTTATAATTTGTATAATAAGTTGTGATTTTGAAATTCGGCCCGTTTGACCGATATATTTTGTGCAGGTAGCACATTTGAGTTTATATATCACCGATTTCAAAGTCCATTACAAGGAACACCTTCCCAAAAGCTCCAATACAAACCAATCCACATATAGGCCAGTAAAGATTGGTTTTTGCCCAGAAATAATTCACAGAAAGCTGGAAACCGTTATAATCCTTTTGTCTTATATAGAAGTAAAAGGATTTGAAGTTTAAAAAATAACCCCATTTTACCAGGTGAGTTTCTGACCTGGGACCACAAAACCCTTGAAATTTAGGGTTATTTTTTAGTTTTTGCTAAAACGTCAATTAACCGTCCAGCCTGCAGAAAAATACATCATAAAGGAATTGTAGAGCATAAAATTCCACATCCATTGAGTATCTGGTGATGAAAATCGATACTGGCCTAATACGCCAAACACCTAATAAACAACACCCATTCATATTCTACCATATATCAAGACCTCAAAATTGTACATAAAGGCCCACAAAGTAACAAGTTTGATATAATTAAACAATTTTGTATGTATAGCAACACCAAATCAACACGTTGAAATCCTCAATGATCAGTGTAATTTTAAGCACACATAATTTTCGACACACTTCTGAAAATAAATAATCAATCAAACACCTAGCCACCTCAATCCAACTACAATCAATACCATAGTTTTTTCACTTCGTAGTCAACATAATCCTGCAATCCCGAATTATTTTGACTGTTGCCGGCAACGTGTTCCCAAACTAAAGTGACTTAATCCCACACTTCAAAAAACCTTGGTTTTATTCATAATTTATGTACCATTTTCATGTGGACTGTAATTTGAAATGTGTTAAATGTTATTATACTTTCTACAAAACCCATGGGTGCTCCACACCCCCCAAGCCCCCCGGTATCCCCCTCCTTGAAAATGTCCTAGAGCCGCCACTGACTTCTGGTACGGTATATATTGTTTTGATTTGAATGTGTTTGGTTGTCAAAGTTTTGTTTGTACAAATAGGCCTTGGTTTAATTTTCTTAATCTCTTAATATTTAACCAACCTACACTGGTGAAAAATAATCAGTTTTTAAATTGTAATTGGGATATTTTGTTTTGAAAATATAACACTTAAGTAGCCTAATTAAAAACGAGGTACCGATGCCACCGGAACCGAGAATTGATTTTGGTTAGGAACCGGTACCGGAACCGACATTGAAGAAGTGGTACCGACCCATCACTAATCTTTACCAAAAAAATGTTAAGCTCAAGAAGACTAAACAAACTTTAATTAAATTAATCTTAACAAATAACACCACTGTTTAACACTCCACTTACATTTACTTACATTATGCCGTGCGGAAATGAATAGGTTTAAGCTCTGTGCTATTATTTAACTAATGTGTTAAATTAAATTAAATCATCTTTTTAAATTATAATTGATTATATATCTCTTATATTCCAAAATTCATCCAAAGAATACAAATATAATTTAAGGGAGATATTTTTTAATTTTTTTTTAAACATAACTATTTCCTCTATTATAATTTTGGGTAAATTAAATAAGAATTGTATGCCAATGAAACTACATTTCTTCTCAAATAACTTTAATTTATGTTGTTCAACCTGCCTAGTATACCTCATTCATAGTGTCGAATATCTGTACTATTAGTTTGGAGGTTTAATTTTTTTACTTGTTAATATGTTTTTATATGTTATGTTATTTTTTTTATGTTGTTATGTTTATGTTGTCTTAAAAGAGAAAGTTTTCCTTGGTTTGTAACAGGGTGGCCATAGACCAGGAATTCTGGCAGTTGTGTGTGAATTTCAAAATTTCAATGGGGACGACATACTGTATTTGTCTGCGTAACGTTTAAAACACTCTGTTAGCTTATAAAAACATTATTGTTAAAACATTGCATTGTCTGTTGTCATGACAAAATCATGTATACCGTCTTTGTTGAGTGATAACAAGAACAATGTCTCCAGTCACAGTGAAATTGAGTACATCTTCCGCAGTCATTTTGAAATCGTGAATGTCTATCGAAGATACAGCAAAATGGTGTACATCCTCTGCGGTCATGTAAAAATAGTGAACATCTTTGTAGGTTGATTCTGAACATCTCCTACAGTCCCTGTGATGTCTTTGTCTCCCTTGATCTGGCAAAACCGTGAACATCACCCGCAATCGCGGCAAAATCATAAAATTTTGATCGCAACTCTTCATAAACTTTGGCTCTACTTGACCCAAGATAATCATTTTCGGCCTGAACTGATACCTTGGGCCAATGCAAGCCTGACTTGAAAATATCAGGAATCCTTAGTCCCCTACTAAAAAGGTATATTTGGCGACCGGGAAAACTAGGTTTTGCTGCCCTGAAAAGAGGACAAATTTTCCAAGAATTTTGGCTGCTCTGTAATATTTGGTTGAGGGTTTTGGTGCCCTTTTGGCCTGTATTCCTGGAAATACAAAACAACAGACAGGACATATTTTTTTTTACTTGTTGTACATGACTGTTATCACTGACTATGTGTGATCCAGGAGAAGGAGTTGTGTGAGGAGAGACTGCGAGATTTGGGTGAGACAGTCAGTGAAGTTGCAGGGTTTGACATGGAGACCACACATCTGATTGTAGACAAGCCTGTGCGTAGTGAAAAGCTGCTGTGTTGCCTGGCTGGAGGCCGCTGGGTTCTCCACACCTCCTTCATTGAGAGAATGGTGGCCTGTGGAAAATATGTGCCTGTAAGTACAAGAGACAACCTGCTATTGATTAATTTGTAGAACCTTGATAACAAGACTCTCAAGGGGATTATCAAATAAGACTGGTTATCAAGGTTGACTTCTTATTGAGATTTGCAATAACATGTAATTAAAGGGTAAAATAAATTCTAGGGAGTTTGAAAATTACACTGGTTATAAAGGGGGACTTGTTGTCGAGGGTCTTGTTATCAAGGTTCCATTGTAAATTCATATTATAACTCTTTAGTAAAGTGTGGTTGACAACTCAACGTTTGCCCTGAAATCTGATGGTGAAACTCTATGCGCTACGTTTTGAACAGTCAACCAGGCAGGGTTAGGTTGGAAGAGACTTCAGCCGATTTAGGTAGGAAGGACATAGATTAGGTTTACATCACTCATACAAATGCCGTGAAGAACTACAGTAAAAGTTTATTTTGGCTTTTTAAACTTAATTTAACGTAATTTTTATAAAAAAAAAACTAATAATTTAGTATTTTAAATTTAATATTTTATTTCCTAGAAAGAAAACATTTGTGGAAAACGCTGCCTATGAACAAACAAATATTTATATATTATTTATTTTTGCATAGCTCACCAAACACTGATCAATGGTATTCATACATTGGTATTTCTAACATCCCTAGCACTTTACTTCTAGTCTTTGTTCGTCCTGCTATTTGCCAAAATACGAAGAGTGACAATCAATTGTTCCTCCGCACTCACTGCTTCACACATAACTACATATCTTTTTCGATATGAGGCCTCGCCAAATTTAGTAGGTAGGTGAAGATCGCAGGTGTCATACGCAAAAATCCTGGAGGTCTTCAGAATACGATTCATCCAACGCATAGTGAATTTTAAAAATTTAGTTTTTCTCATTAGTGGCTATAGTAACTTCTGGCCCCCTTCGCCTGCAAGTGCCCAAGGTTGGTAATACAGGGTGTATACCAACCGGGAAAACCGGGAGAACCGGGAAATAACCTTGAATTTGAAGGGACCTGGAAAAAACCGGGAAAAAGCCGGGATTTTTGAACCGAATCCGGGATTTTTATTTTAGCCCCGGTAGAAGATTGTAGTCGTAAAATGCGTCTTGCCGCGATTGCGGGTGATGACGATGACGTTTTCGTGACCGCGGGAGACGACGATGCCGTTTCCGTGACCGCGGGAGACGACGATGACGTTTCCGTGACCGCGGGAGACGACGATGAAGTTTCCGTGACCGCGGGAGACGACGATGATGTTTACATGGCTGCAGTAAATATTCATGATTTTACCGCGATCGCGTACTTCGACGATTACGTTTCCCTAACCGCTGGAGTCAATGATGATGTCTACACGGCCGTGGAAGATTTTCATGATTTGCCGTGACCGCGAAAGATGACGATGATGATTTCTACACGGCCGCGTGAAATACTCATGATTTTGCCGCGATTGCGACCTACGACGATGACGTTACCGTGACCGCGGGAGACGACGATGACGTTTCCGTGACCGCGGGATCAACGATGATTTCTACACGGCCACGTGAAATACTCATGATTTTGCCGCGATTGCGACCTACGACGATGACGTTTCCGTGACCGCGGGAGACCACGATGACGTTTCCGTGACCGCGGGAGACGACGATGACGTTTCCGTGACCGTGGGAGACGACGATGACGTTTCCGTGACCGTGGGGTCAACGATGATGTATACACTGCCGCGGGAAATATTCATGATTTTGCCGAGATCGCGGACGACGACGATGACGTTTCCGTGACCGCGGACGACGACGATGACGTTTCCGTGACCGCGGACGACGACGATGACGTTTCCGTGACCGCGGGAGACGACGATGATGTAGACACGGCCGCGGGAAATATTCATGATTTTACCGAGATCGCGGACGATGACGTTTCCGTGACTGCGGGAGGCTATGATGATGTCCACACGGCCGCGGAAGATATTCGTGATTTGCTGTGACCGCGAAAGACGACGATGATTTTGTTTACACGGCCGCAGATGTTCATGATTTTGCCGAGATCGCGCACGACAACGATGACGTTCCTGTGACCGCGAGAGTCAATGATGATGTCCACACGGCCGCGGAAGATTTTCGTGATTTTGCCGCGATCGTGGATGACGATGATTACGTTTTCGTGATCGCGAGAGATGGCGATAATGTATACATACCGCGTGAGATGTCCAGGATTTTTCTATGGTAACGTAAGACTGTGATGATGTTTAGGTCACCGTGGGAAGCGACCACACGACCGCAGGAAATATTCAGGATTTAGCCGCCGTTGATAATGTGTTCATAAAAAATGAAGATAATATTCATGATTTTGCTGTTATCGAGAGAGACGATGTTTCCGTGGACTTAAGTAATGATGATAATGAAAATTATTACTATAATAAGGATTATTACTTTTTCAACACTAGCTCACTGGACTTTGAAACAAATTTAATGCAAGTTTATATTGTATACTTAGGCTGCAAGTCTTAAATTGATTATAGTTTAAGTGGAACCAAACAAATACGCGGGAACCTGGAAAAACTTTGAAAAACCAGGAAAAAACCTGGAAAAAACCTGGAATTTCACTTTAATAAAATAGTATACACCCTGTAATAATAAACATCTGTCCACAGACATGGTCTTACAGTACCCTGAAAAACTAGTTGTAGTGTTAGAAAATTAGTGTTCCTTTTAGCGAATTTCCCATATAGGGAATAAGCTATTACCGTAGTACTCATGGTAAGACCTGGACGCGGGATCGATTTTTTTTTTTCGTTTTGAGGTCCCTAGAGGCCAAAAACACCATCCGTTCAAATTCATATATATATATATATATATATATATATATTAAATATTTAAGTAAATAAGTACAACTGAGCACCCTGATTATATATAATCCCCCTTATTAGCACCCTTTATTATATATAATAAAAAGAAGTGACATGTTTCGGACATTAGTCCATTTTCAAACTTTTATGTTTTTTGGGTCAAAATTGGGAAAAACCTATTTTTACCCCATAAAACCCCCCGTAAACACCCGTTCCCATGGTCCGATCATGCTGGATCGCGAACTCGTTCGAATTTTGTTTTTACATAGAATAACATGAATAACATAGAAGTTTGAAAATGGACTAATGTCCGAAACATGTCACTTCTTTTTATTATATATAATATTCAGGGTGCTCAGTTGTACTTATTTACTTAAATATTTAATATATCAGCAGCCCTAATAAGTGAACACCTAAATTAAAACATAAATGACTAACAATCAAATTTATATATATATATATATATATATATATATATATATATGTGTGTGTCCGTCAGCACGATAACTCGAGCAAAAATGATCCGATTTTGATGAAATTTGGTACAAACGTGTAAACCTACGTCTATTCGAACGAGTTCGCGATCCAGCATGATCGGACCATGGGAACGGGTGTTTACGGGGGGTTTTATGGGGTAAAAATAGGTTTTTCCCAATTTTGACCCAAAAAACATAAAATTTAGCAATTAATTTCCAAACCATTTTGTAGAGCTTCAAAAAACAAATAATTTAGTATATTGAAGCGTTATTATGCGCCTAATGGTTACGGAGAAAATTCAAAAAAATTGTAAATTTAAAATTCCCATGTTATTCTTATGGAGAATGAGTAAACTGTTGTAGTTTGCTTGTTTATGAACATATTTTGATCAAATTTGGAAAATGTTTTTATTTCTTACTAACTATTAACATTTTACAAAAAAAAAAAATCAGTTTTACCCTCCCTGATGCAGCAAACCTAAGTACTTGTTAAACTAATTCTATTTAAATCGGGAATAAATGTTATATTTTTAAGTAGACATTTCAGTGTAAATCCAATCAGTCAAATGGAAATTCGCTTAGTCTGCAGGTTTGCTGCGGCGGGGGTATTTTAATTTAATGATTGAGTTAAAATCAGGTGTAATGTTACCATGTTTTGTTTCAGTAGACTGTGTCTATAAGTTTTTTTAGTTATATTCTTCTTCTTGACTTTATGGTGCATCTCAGATACTTGAATAATCAAAGAAATACTTCTATGGATAATACAGCTTGCAATACCAAGATCATTTGTCCCCTACCCTCTCCCCCAAGGCGAGTGATGTTGACTTGATTTGTACCGACTCTCTATTATTGACAAAAGTTTCTAAGACATTACGTAGGGTGAGTGTACAGGCTACTAGCCAGCTTTTTTACTCTCAGCTCATAAACTAGCTTAGTGCGCTTATCGCAGTAATGAAATGAAATGATAGCTACTTTTAAAAAGCTCTGTATACAGTTAAATTTGTCGTAAAACTTTACATCAACCCACTCAAAGTATTTTGAGCTAACTACATAGTAAAACTATTCAAGTGTAATCACAGTACACAAACGACAAGTATAATAAGACTTGATAATTTCATAGGGAGTTGTATGATGTACTCACTGATAAGACCGATTTTTATCCTCCGGCTAGTAGCTTGTAAACTCGCCATGTGCAATCGATCCTTTATTGCAAAACCCACTAGTAAATATAAACTTAATTTGGTTTTTGCCAAATTTTAGGGCTATGCTCGACAAGGAGCTAAAATTATCTTAACCAGCCGACATAAAAAAAAAAAAAAAAAAAAAAAAACGGGAATTCTAAGTGAATTTTGATGACCGAGAAAAAATTCCTGAATTGTACATGAATTATAAAAATAACCAGGAAATATTTAGTAAAGGTTAAATGTTTAAATAGTAGCCAAAAAATCTGCCCGAAATCACAATTTTTTCTCGTTTTGCTTAGTCTAAAATAACGATTGAGGGAAACTATCACTTATAACGGACATTGCCAAGCTTGTGGAAAATCATTTTGGATGTTGCTGTGATCGTGGGAAATCATTATAAATTTTGAAGTGATCGAAAGATATGATCACCTATGTGGCTGCAATCGCAAGAAGTTATAACGCAATTCACCAAAGAGCTTTTAATGCACTAACAGGCTTAAAAATGTAATTTTAGCTTATTTTGAGTGGAAATTGAATTTTGAATCTTAAAAATTTGAAATTGTCGAAATTAACAATAAAATACCAAAACAAATGTTAGTATCACTTCAATTTTCTGTTTGCTAGTAAACCAGTAAACTGAGTTGCAAACAATGTAGCTGAGTTGTTGGTAAGAGTAAAATCCTTTTTTGATAGCTGTACTGTTTATGTTATTTCAGCAAATGAGCTTTATTATATTAAGTTTAACTCTTGTAAATAATGTTATAGGAAGAAGAGAAGTTTGAATGGGGCAATCCCCTGAGCAGTGGTCGGCTTCCCTCATTTCCACCTGGTGACTTGGCCCAAGAGTTAGCAGAGTCAGCCTACAGGTAGTGTGTTTTTACAATGGCTAGAGTGTCACTATGAGGCGGTTTACGAGCTCAGGTTTATCGAAGTCCGAGCCCAGAATCCGGAAATAACTGGTATTTGCGCCGCGGCTTAAAAAATTGGGTTCACAAGCTCGAGACTTTATAAGCTGCGGAAGAAACTGGTGGACTCCACACAATTAGTGCAGGGATAAAACATGGTTTTAAAAGTTTCGTTCATGAGTCCAATTACATATAGTCTCGGCGTTCGAGGATAAACTTGGTGAGTTCACGAGTCAAGTCCGAGCCCAAAATGAGATAAGCTCGGACTGTAGAACAATGGTGTTTGGTCTCATACTCAGACCTGGTGGGAGGCAGGTTGACTTAAGGGTGTTTGGTCAAAAATTTGATGTCTTATTTTTTGTTATTGTTCAATTGTACTAAAAATTAGAGATACAAATATATAAGACAAAATTATTTATTTTGAATATTAAGCGAGATATGGAGCTTGAAAGTAGTAAATTTTTCATCTTTGGTACCAGTTCACAGGGAGAATAGGTAATGCGATTCTCACCAAAATTTGCATTCAGGTGTGGAAAAATAAGATAATAATCACTAGCTATTTAAAATTAAAAATCAAAAAAAGAAATTAAATTTTATTTTTTATAATATATTTTTTTATAAGCTCCATATCTCGCTTAATATTCAAAATAAATTTTTTCCCCTTATATATTTGTATCTCTAATTTTTAGTACAATTAAACAATAACAAAAAAAAGACATGAAAATTTACGACCAAACACCTTGTGACTTAATGCCGGGATCATCTGATTAGCTCCTTTATTTTTATTAATTTTTAAAAACTAATGTTTCAATATGTCAATATGGTTCCTCATGAAATTCTGAACAATTTCATTACCCACAACGCCATATTAAAATACCCTCGCTGCAGCAAACCTGCAGACTGAGCGAATTTCCAATTGCCTGATTGGATTTACACTAAAATGTCTCCTTAAAAATATCGCATTTATTCCCTATTTAAATAGAAATAGTTTAACGAGTACTTAGGTTTGCTGCAACAGGGAGGGTAAAAAGGTGGGTTTTTTTGTAAAAGGTTGTTTAATGAGAAATAAATGCATTTTCCAAATTCGATCAAAGTGTGTTCATAAACAAGCAAACTACAACAGTTGACTTATTCTCCATAAAAATAACATGGGAATTTTGAATTTACATTCTTTTTGAATTTTCTCCGTAACCATTAGGTGCATAACAAGGCTTCATTATACTAAATTATTTGTTTTAAGCTCTACAAAATGGTTTGGAAATAAATTGCAAAATTTTATGTTTTTTGGGTCAAAATTGGGAAAAATCAGTTTTTACCCCATGAAACCCCTCATAAACCCCCGTTCCCATAGTCCAATCATGCTGGTTCGCGAACTTGTTCGAATAAATATAGGTTTACACATTTATACCAAATTTCATCAAAATCGGATAATTTTTGCTTGGGTTATCGTGCTAACGGAGATTTATATATGAATTTGAACGGATTGTGTTTTTGGCCTCTAGGAACCTCAAAACGAGAAAGTAAATCGGTCCCGGGTCCAGGTCTTACCAAAAGTACTACGGTAATAAATAGCTTATTCCCTATATGGGAAATTTGCTAAAAAATATGTAAAAATGGTAAAAAGACGCTTAAAACGTAAAAAAATGCAAACAACTTGAAACAACAAGTAGTATCATTACAAAAACTTTTTTTTTATTTGTTTGTAAGAATAGCAAAAAAGGAAAGAATTCTATTAGATTATAACCACGGTTTTCCCTGATTAAAGCTCAGCACATACATACGATTTTTATATCTAAATAGTCAGTCCCTCTAAATACATTTTAGTTTAATACATGGATCTTCCATTTGAAAATATTGTATGTATTACCAACAGAATCCATAATTTATTTAGTTATTTAAATATCTACCGATTTTCACAATGAACAAGACATAACTGTGTTCAGAATTCCTATGTGTCAGATTCTGTCCCCTTTTAAGATGTCTTTGTAGTCTTCCAACCCTTCTCTTTCCTCTTATGTTTCTTTCCAGTTATACTGTTATGCTCTGTTATCTGAAAATATGAGGTTCACATATCTAATGTGGCATTTCATAGTCATGCTGGATTTTTGTTAACTTGATTTTTTCCTATAAAATATTTTGTGTTTTTATGAGACACTTGTGCTAAATCCTACCTGGTAAATAACTGGTCTTAATACTAACAGTCTCACAGACTATTAAGCTTTGTTTAATCAATTACTTAGATGGCGAACAAAGGTTAATGGATCTGCCGAAGGAGCATTTAAAGGATTAAAGGCCATGTTGTTCACCACCCCAGCCAAGAGTGTGTCGTACCAACGGCTGATTATTGCTGGAGGAGGAGTTGTACTTCCATCTATTTTGTAAGTATTAAATAAAACTGAAATGAATGGTTCTTTAAATCATCAAAATCTCTTTTTACTTGCTTTTGAAAAATACATTTTGTTATAAGTGTCTTACTTTGTAAAGGAAATGAACATTAAATTTTCATCTTTAAGGCCAGGCGCACACAGGCGATTTTGAGTCGCGCAACAGTTGCCCGACTAAAATGTTCAACATTGTTTTAAATTGGAGTGCACACACGAAGGAAACAGTCTGGGGACAGTCGCGCAACTGTTGCAACCGATGTTCCCGGACCCAATTTGCCAGCGACTGCTCTGCGACTCAATTGTTGCGGGACTGTCGCTCCAGGTTTGGTGTCCATTGAAACAAGTGTAGATGCGCACACATGCAACTAAATAGTCGCTGTGTCGCTCAGTCTCACCCCAGGAGTTCAACTACTCGTGGCCAGAACTGTCAAAGTAGTGTTTGCTCTCTTGTTGTGTGAAGTTTTTAGAAAATTACAAGTATGAGTGTGCGTGATGAGGATGTCAAACAATTAATTGATGAAGTTGAGAAGAGGCCGACTATATTTAAAGTCATTAAAACTGTCCTTTCACAAGTCGCTCACTATATATGGGATGAACCCAGTATCTTCTCTTTTTCTTTCGCGCGCGAAACTTCAGCAACAAAGCACATACTACGGCTGTATCATTGAAATCCATTCGCAACGCTGTAATGAATGTATTTCCAACACGTCTCAAGACTAGATCCGCGACTAAAAAGTTGCCTGTGTGCGCACTCCAGCTCAACTGTCGCTAGACTTCAGAGTCTCCGAGAGAGTTGCGCAACAGTCCCCCGATTAGTCGGGCAACTGTTGCGCAACTCAAAATCGCCTGTGTGCGCCTGGCCTAATTTATGTTAGGTACCGTACTGTAGAGTAAAATCACCGAGTTAAGGTCACCATCATAGTCCAGTAAATGTGTCAGAAAATGTGGGGTTGCTGTGCAAAAGGTCTGGTAGTTTTGATTCTTGGATATGTTGTTAGTATTGGGCCCATAACATAAAATCCATGTTTTCCACCTTGAGGTACCATGGCGCGCCACTTGTTATTGAAATTTCAAAAATTATATATGGATTTGACCATTACTACGGTGTATCACTCTATTTTGCAAAAGGATAGTTTTACTAAAAATAAAAATATTACTTTATTTAATTAAAGGAGGATAATTTTGTGACAGTTTAAGCCCAACACCAGGCATATAGCGTAAATAATGGACAAAATACAGACTTTCAAAATAAACCAATTTTCTAACGATTTATGAAAATGGTGATTTTTTAAATATTTCCACAATACAGTTGATTGAAGCAAATGCCATATCATAAAGATTTCGTGAGTTTGTTAGTTTATTTGCTGTAAATAAAAGATAAAAGAAATTATAAATAAAAATTAGAGAGAAAGAATATAAAGTGTGTTAGTAGGGGTTTTATTTTATGGGCTACAGAGGCTCGACAAAATTGTCAACATATTTTAATCAATGCATGCCCTATTAAGAGAAAAAAATTCTGAAAAGAGCCTATTATTTCTAATGTGAACTTTGGAAGTAAATGATGTTCCGTATAAAAATACCATTAAGCTAAGCTTTCTGTTTTGTCTAGTCTATCACAAACGGTATTGAAATTAACTTTGGAGCCTGACTATCACTGATTCAAAAAGAAATAATTGCCAATCATCCTTTTATAACTTAAACAAAATTAAGTGTTCCAACCAGTTCATCTTCAAGCTTTCCACTATAAGGTCTTGCATAAACATTGTTGGTTGTAATTTCAATTTGTAATGGTTCTTTGATTAATGTTATTGATAGAAACTTGAAATTGTATGTAGATCACGTTATAATGTAAGGTACAATTGTGTAAAGATCACAATCTTAACCAATAATTATTTAAATAGTTGGTGTACTGGATCTCAACTTTGGGTATAACCAGAGAATTTCTGTTTTGGTGATAAATTTTCTTTCAAAGCTTTGAAAACAATATTTTTTTCTAATTAATTAAGTGAACACAAAATCTCATCAGAAATCATATTAATATAATATAACCAACTCTAATAACTAATCAACTCTCTATAATCTAACTTTTCAACAATCCTGAAATGTAAAAAAAATAATATGTAGGGTGTCCAGCTTGGAAGAGAGAATCTTGAACTGGGTTGTGTTGATGGAAAGGAGGAGAGGCTTCATACAATTTTAAAATGTCATATATGTGGTCATTCCTTGGTGTAATGATTTATGTACGATAAATTTCAACACTGTTTGGACATAATATTTTAAGTATTATTATTACGAATTATAGGAGAATATGGACAAGGCGTTAAAATTATTCCCCTACAATGTAATTTAAGATTATACTGAGGAGTTTTGGAATAAAATGGGCAATTTTTTAACCAATTAGTCAAAAAGATAGGTGGGATTAAATGGATATTTTTATTTGTGCTGATTGCGGCATTTCTCCATCTTGGAGTCTTAAGTAATACGGGTTTGATTTTTTGTTTCGACCTTAACTCAACAGAACCAAAGTAAACACAATCCTTGCTGTTAATTGTCCAATAAAGGATTGTGATGTTTTGAAGGTCTTCGGTGAGTATGGCGACACACTGCTTCATGGAGATCAACAAAGTCCCAAACCTGACTGTGCCTCTGAGTGAGTTTGTAACTAACAACGTGCCTTGTCTGCTGCCTGTCTACCTAGCAGAGATGCTCACTAGCGCCTCACCAAACATGCAAGACTCGCTCATACCTGAATATAAGAAACTTTTGGCACAAAACAAATGAACAAATATCACAAATACTTTTAAAATGCCTGAGTCTTTCATTATTCTTGAGAATAGAATGCTTTTAAAGTGTGTATTTAACCCTTTAACCCTTTGGAAAACAATTAACAATCTGGCTAAGTTGCACATTTTGTTTGATTGTCGATGTAGGGACTTGAAGTTGTAGATTTTAATTTTAAGACCATGTACTTTCCAATGAAAATTTATAATTTGTAAATCTAAAGCCGTTTGCTGTAAGATGAGTTTGAAAGTTTAATTTTATTTCCAGTAAGATGTAAAAATAACATTATACTAGCATAAGTTAACTTTTTGTTTAATTTTTTTTTTTATTAGTTTAGCAGTAACCTCAATTTTTTATAGTTTAATTTTTTGTCATTATTAGTTTGGCAAACACCTCAATTTCTAATATTGTAATTTTTTTTACCTTTTCAAGCTCAGAGTATTGTCCTCTAAAAATTTACTTTTATGACAGAATGCATTTTTAAATCTATTTAATTTTGGGAACTGTCATTATTGTTTAAATGGAATAGTAAAATAATGTTTGTTAATATTGACACAAATCTGTATGTTGGTTATGAAAGATTATATTCATTACATACAATGTATTTTTGAATTGTTGATACTTCCCTGAAGTTAAAAAATGTCTTTAATTTCAACTAGGCTAAGTTCTATTGTCCACTTGTACATTGGTGTTCAGGATCCAGGTGCAAGGGAACGACATATCTTCTCCGGTCTTGTTCTTCATCCCCAAATTTATCATCTCGGGTACAGTTTCTTAACTGGGATACGCTAATATCGATTGAAACTATCGATTCGATTAGTAAACTTTCACGCGATTTTTCACCATCCAAATTCATATGTTCATATTCATATTCATATGTTTTTCAATAGAATTTGTATTAGTTTGGTTGGTTAGGTTAGGTTATGATAGTTTTATTTTATAATAGATATATTTAAAAATATTGATTATTAATCAATACTTTCAATTTGATAATTTCAATCAATATTATCGTAGCCCAGTTAAGAAACTGTACCAGTACCCATCATCTCTACTCAAATTTTAAGTCATCTTAAATTGAAAGCTTATATTATAACAATAATAATAATGTAAGAAATTATTGCGATTGGATAGAAGAATGCTGTGATCAACAGGATACAAGCTTAGATACAAAAGGAATAACACTTTTAATTGATTTTCATCAATAGACGCCTGCAGGTATGAAAATAAACCACCTAACCCTCAAAAAATTCCTACAAAAGGTTTTTTTGTCTTTTTGTAGGGTTAGGTGTGCTGATTAACATACCAAAAGTTTACCAAAGTTTGACAACTGGAAAAGCCTCAATTTCAAGATGGCGTCCAAGATGGTGTCAAATATCAAACTTCTACAAATTTCATCCCAAAGAAGTAGTTAAGAGTAGAGGTGTGCGGATATCCGAAAAATCGGGTCGGATTCGGTTCGGTTCGGATATCCGTATCCGAACCGAGCCCAAATTCGATATCCGACACTATCCGTTATATATCCGACTTTTTCGGATAGACAATATATTTTGACGTTTTGGAGAGAAAACCTCCATAACCACCATTAGTTTCCCAGGACAAAATTACAGCAATACGTTTCCAACGACCTAACAGCAAACGGCAAAGAAGCCGTATGATGCAATATTGATAACTAGTTTAGTCGTTATCGGCTGTTTTGCTTTACGATTAGATTCGTCTGGAACGAACAGACATAAAGCAGAAAAGAACTACCATGGTCAAATGAAAGTCAACTCGTACTTGTCTTGCTCCTGATACTAGGGGCGCTGCGTAATAGTTTTTTTACAGTACTGTTTCAAAGTAGAAAAATCTAGCCTACTACTGTGATGTTACGTAAACAATAGATTAAATGTTTCCCGAAAAAAAGTCAGAATAGAAACAATAGAAAGGCAACACAATAGAAGGGTGGGAGGGGTTGGGCAATAACCTCGAAAGGAGCGGGTAGTGAGTCAAGTAGGACCTGAGGGGGAAGGGGTGGGTAAGACCTTGAAGCTATATACAGTGTGTAAATTAAGTATGGAAACAAATCTGTATTTTTAAAACCGAAATAGATAGAAATATTCTATTTGTGGCAATAATAGTTAACAAAGATTCCGCAATTTTTCACATGAAAAATATTTTTTTACCCCCCTAACAGGGTAGGTGGTAGGGGGTGACTTATTTTTTTCAAATAGCAACCCCTATTGAGTGACCCCTCATTTTGAAGAGTTTGTCAAAAGAAACACAATGACGCAAATCCGAGGTGAATATCTCACTCCTAGCCCAAATGGCGGATATTCCAAAATTTGATTTATTGTACGTGAAAAGCACCAATTTCACAAATAATGGAAAGAAATCTGTATTTTTAAAACCGAAATAGATAGAAATATTCTGTTTGTGGAATTGATTGTTGACATAGGTTCCGCAATTTTTTTAATCAACAATATTTTTTCAACCCCTTTAACAGGGTAGGGGGTGGGAGTGACTTATTTTTTTCAACAACAACCCCTATTGAGTGACCCCTCATTTTGAAGGGTTTGTTAAAAGAAAAAGAATGACGCAAACCCGAGGTAGATATTTCACCCCTAGCCTAAATGGTGGGTAATGAAAAATTTAATTTTTGTAAAAAAAACCCATTTTGGAATATCCGCCATGTTAGCTAGGAGTGAGATATTCACCTCGGATTTGCGTCATTGTGTTTCTTTTGACAAACCCTTCAAAATGAGGGGTCACTCAATAGGGGTTGCTATTTGAAAAAAATAAGTCACCCCCTACCACCTACCCTGTTAGGGGGGTAAAAAAATATTTTTCATGTGAAAAATTGCGGAATCTTTGTTAACTATTATTGCCACAAATAGAATATTTCTATCTATTTCGGTTTTAAAAATACAGATTTGTTTCCATACTTAATTTACACACGTATAGACTTGCACTACTTCCCTAAACCAAAAGGACTGGCCGGTGAGTGGTATTCCAATCACAGGACAAGATACGTTGTTTTTTGGGCATTCATTGCCCGGTTTGACTTTGGATTGTCTTACTGTGTAGAAACTTTTAATAATAAAAAATAAAGTTAGAACTAACCACGATTATTTAGCATTTATTGTGTACATATTAAATGATTAAACGATAGGGACCATGGATATATACAAACTTTTGTCGTGATTTTAATTTCAACATCAAAATACAATATTGCACAATCGTGATATTTTATGTCATTGACCTTTATTATGCATCCGGTATTGCTGTTTCAGAAGAGAAGCACGTTGATAAATTATAAATTGATATTCCCGTAGTTAAAAAGAATTATTTTATAAACCTATAAAACAAAATCATAAAATCTTACATAAAGATAACAAAAATTAACGGAAATTGTAAAAAGGGAATAAAGATAACAACGTCATTATTCTTTCTCTTTGTTCTTCTATTTCTTGGGTTTCCCTTATCACGCATTCAATGTCGTTATCAGCTTTTATGACATAGCGCACAGCAGGGGGTAAAACACTTGAGTGCAGCCGAGCGGCACTAATGAGGGTCGGACCTTCTTGGGGGTGAACAATACGTGTCGTAACACTTCGGCCCAAGTAACACTTCGGCCCAGTAACATTTCGGCCCGAAACCCTCAGATGTGGCCTACGGTCCAACTCTCTACCTGCCCACTAGTAACACTTCGTCCCAACAAAATATTTGACAGGTTAGGCAGGGCCGATTTACCGAATAGGCACGGTAGGCACGTGCCTAGGGCGCGAGGCAATTGGCTTTTTTGGGGGGCGCCAAAAATTTGGAAATTAAAAAAATTTCGTGGTAGTATTTGCATGCTATTGCGGTAAACTTCTGATAACCCATCGCGGCCGTGTAGGCATCGTAATCGTCTCCCGCGTTTGCGGCAAGATTCTTACTATTTTCTGCAGTCAGGTCGTTTGGACATAAAATACTAAATGGTCTTACCCATTTTATTTATTTATTTATTTAAATTACCCATTATTTATGGTTATTGAAGACTGAGTCTTCCATGATCGAGGCAATATATGAACATATCCCGCTGTCGTGAGTAGATTATCATCGTCTTCCGCAAATGAGGCAAAATTCTGATATTTTCCCTCGGTCGTGAGGACATTATCCTCGTCTTGCGGGATCGCGGTCAAATTCTGACCACCCCTCACGGCCGTGAAGACATCATATCGTCCCCCGCGGTTGTGTGGACATACTTATTACCTCCTGTGATTGTGGCAAAATGGTAATCATCTGCCACGGTCTTGTGGAGATCATCATCCTCTTACGAGACATTAGGCAACATTTTTTTACCTTTTCGTGTGGCCATTATCATCGTCTTGCGCGATTGCGATAAAATTCTGATCATTCCTCGCGGCCGTGAAGACATCATTATATCGTCCCCTGCGGTCGTTTGGACAATCGCCTCCCGCGATTGCGGAAAAATGGTAATCATCTACCGCGGACAAATGGAGATAATCGTTTTCGGCGAATGAGGCAAAATTCTGATCTTTTCCTTCGGTCATGTGGACATTATCATAGAAACCACGGCCCCTCGTGGCCGTGTGGAAATAATTATTGTATTCCGCGGTTCTGTAGACATCGTAATCGTTTCCCGCAGTTGTGAAGACATCGTTATCGTCTCCCGCGATTGCGGTAAAATGTTAATAATGTCCTCCAGTCGTGTGGGGATCATCATCGTCTTCTACGATCGCGGCAAAATTCTTGCTGTTTCCCGCGGTCGTGTGGACATTATCATCGTCTTCCGTGATCGCGGCAATATTCTGATCATCCCTCGCGGCCGTGTGTAGACATATTATCGTCTCCCGCGGTCACGGAAACGTCACTGTTGTCATGTGCGATCACGGTAAATTGAAAACTCCAGGTAGAAACACAAAATTCAAGGTTTAAAAATCTCCCGCATGATTCCTGGTCGGTGTACACCCTGTTATATATATTGCAAAGGGGCGCTACTATTATTAGATGTGCCTAAGGCGCTGACAGGGTCAAAAACGGGCCTGTATTGAATAACACACATATATACAGACACCATGAGATTGTTATATAATAGTATAGATTATCAAATTAACAAAGGAAATATGTAAAGTCCATAAATTTCCACATTTAGCGTACTTACAGTACGATAAATGCAACCAAAAACATTATGTTAGTATTTTTAGTTTCAGACATATTGTGGTATGTTGCAATTTTTCACTAAATAAAAAACATAGATTCTAATTTGTTTATTTTACCATACCCTAAAATCCATTATATAAATATGTAATTTAAATACTTTGATTCATTGATACAGAGCAGCAATACTCTCATTGATGTTTGTTTATAGCCTAGCACGAGTGTCGGACTCAGGCGGCGGGTGAGTGCGGCGTTGCCAGTTCGAACGTCGCGGCCTTCAAGGCATTTCCGGTGGTCAAACTTTGGTAAACTTTTAGTATGTTGATCAATACACATAATACTACAGAAAATCGCACTTGTAATAGGAATTTTTTGAGG